GTGTGTGCGTGTGTGTGCGTGTGTGTGTTGGCATGTTTTTTTTCAGGGTACTTTGATGCTTTTCTTCACAATGCCATAGTTTCTGCGTTTGAGTTTTTAAGTTTCATCCAAAATTCATTTTCAGGATTTTCTTGCTGAATACTGCTAAACTTTTTGTAAATAGTGAAAACATCTCATTCATATTGTTGTTTGTAGTAGCTGAAGTAACATCATTAGCTTCATCGGTAGCAGTAATAGTAGTGGTAGCTGCAGCAGTAGTAGCAGTAACAGCAGAAGCATTAGCAGCAGCAGTAGTAGTAGTAGCAGCAGCAGTAGTAGTAGTAGTAGTAGTAGTAGCAGTAGTAGTAGTAGTAGTAGCAGCAGTAGTAGTAGTAGCAGCAGTAGTAGTAGTAGTAGTAGTAGCAGTAGTAGTAGTTGCAGTAGTAGTAGTAGTAGTAGTAGTAGCAGCAGCGATAGTAGTGGTGGTAGACGGTGGTGTACTGACGTATGTTAAACTAAGATAAGGTCTTTAACGGACCTTTATATACTAACGACCAAGGATGATGGTGATAACGGTGATGATGCTCTTGATGATGTTGGTTAACTCAGCGACTCATCATCAATTCATTCTTAACCAACTGTTTCTTTTATTCATTTAATTAATCATTCAATCATTCAGTCATTTGTTCACTCACACACTCATTCCTTCACCAATTCATTCATTCATTCAATCACTTATCCGCTCATTCATCCGCTCACTCACTCACTCACTCACTCGCTCAATCACTCACTCTTTTATTCACTCATTCACTCTCTTATTCATTCACTCACTCACTCACTCACTCATTCTCTTATTCACTCACTCACTCACTCATCCATCCACTTCCGCGTCATAAGCTCGCCTGTGTTACGAGCAGATAGTAGTACCCGGGTGACCGCAAAGACAGATGTCCTCGAACAATAACATAAACCGAGACTGAGAAAGAAGGAGAGAGAGAGAGAGAGAGAGAGTAAGAAAACCAGTCGGAAAGAGAGAGGAGAGAGAGAGGAGAGAGAGAGGGATTAGAAGAAAAATATTGGAAAGGATAGAAACAAAAGTGAAGAAAGCGAAAGAGAAAAAGAAGAAAGAGAGGGAGAGAGAGAAAATATAGAAAAATGAACGAATAAAATTTAAAAAAAAATAAGAAAAATCTGATAGTGATGGCAAGCAAAATATGTCAAATACCGTACGGAAGAAAATGAGGATGACGTCATGAATGTTGTCAAGAAGTAGCAAATAAAACGAAAATGATGATGACGACGATGTTGAGGCTCAGGAAAAACCCAGTGGAAAACCTAAAAGGATGATGACGATGACATTGATGAAACTTTTCTCTGCACTGCCTCTCCACTTTCTTTCACTCTCTCTCTCTTTCTCTCTTTTTCTTTCTATTTCTATTTCTTTCTCTCTCTCTTTCTCTCTCTTTCTTTTTTGTGTTTTTCCTCTCGATCTCTCATTCAGTGTTTGTATTTTATAAAGTTATTTTTCTCTATATCTCTTTATCGATTTCTTTTTTTAATAGTTTTTTATCCCACTATATTTCTTTTTTTAAAGTTTTTCATTTTTCTTTCTTTCCGTCTCTTTGCTCACAAGGAGTTTTGCATGTTAGCTTGTTAGTTTGTTTGTTTGTTCCCTTGTTTGTTTGGTTCGTTCGCATGTTCGTCCATTTGTTTGTTCGTTCGTTGGTTTGCTTTCTTGTTCGTTAAGCGTTTAAAAATTCCAGAGAAGTTCTTGCTTATATTACAAAGAAGAGAAAGAAATA